CCACGAGATTCTTCGCGCACCCTGTACCCTCGACCTTGAACCCAGAGGCCCCCGAACATGGCCGATTACGCCCAATACCACGCCCTTGGCCAGGGCGAGGCCATTGATCCCAACGATCCCAATCGAACGACCGCGCCTGCTCCTCAGCAATTCCAGCAGCATCCCGCGCACCCACAATACCAACAACAACAATATGGAGCTCCTCAGTTTCAGGGAGGAGTGCCTGCACAACCAGGAGGGCCTCCCACCCCCGGTCAAGCATATGCCTCGCCGATACCTCCTGCGGGATTTCAGTCGCAAGATGCTATGCTGGCAGGGCAGATGGGAGGGATGAACCTGGGTAGCGACGGCACCGGCACATTGCGAAAAAAGAAGAAGGATAGGCATGCATACCATATGGTCGAGGCAGCTGGGTCTTCGCAACCTTTCAGTGGAATGCCACCACCCGGCACTCCTACCTCGCAATTTCTAAATAGTCCAGCAACGCCAGCCGCTCAGTTTCCAGCACCAGGGAACAATGCCTACACACCTGGGGTGTTTGCTCCTGCTGCTGATGTCGTAGGGGTCGGAGCCAGAGCCGCTGATACTTCTGCAACGATTTCAACATCTGGACCCAGCAAGGTCACAGCCGATGACCTACCCAGCGTCCCAGCCTCGCGTGACAGTGTCCAACAATACTTCCTGAAGAACGTTTATCCCACCTTTGAGCGCCATGTACCTCCGCCTGCTGCGGTATCCTTCGTTGCCTTTGACCAAGGGAGCGCCTCCCCCAAGTTCGCCCGACTGACGCTCAACAACATCCCTGCTACTTCAGATGGTCTTCACTCCAGTGGGCTTCCCCTCGGGCTTCTGCTCCAACCCCTGGCCTCCCTACAACCTGGCGAGGCTGAGATACCTATTCTCGATTTTGGGGATGCTGGCCCTCCTCGATGCCGACGATGCCGCGCATACATTAACCCATTCATGATGTTCCGGTCTGGTGGTAACAAATTCGTCTGCAACTTGTGTACACATCCCAACGATACGGCGCCGGAATACTTTTGCGCCACAACACCTCAGGGTGTACGGGTGGACAGGGATCAGCGCCCTGAGCTTCATCGTGGAACTGTAGAATTCGTGGTACCCAAGGAGTACTGGACGCGTGAGCCAGTGGGTCTGAGATGGTTATTCCTTATCGACGTGACGCAAGAGTCGTACAACAAGGGCTTTTTGGAGGCATTCTGTGATGGAATTCTCGCCGCTCTATATGGCGGCGAAGATCAGGAAGAAGACGAAAACGGCGACACAAAGCGAAGGATACCCGAGGGAGTCAAGGTTGGCTTCGTTACCTACGATAAGGATGTCCACTTCTACAACGTTCAGGTGAGTCTCGTAAGCAACATGAAGGCTGTCTAATCATTGCTAACACGCACAGGCTGGATTGGACAGTGCTCAGATGATGATCATGCCCGATCTTGAGGACCCTTTTCTCCCTCTTGGCGAGGGATTGTTCGTTGACCCGTACGAATCCCAGTCTGTAATCACTTCTTTGTTGACTCGCCTACCGGAGATGTTTTCCAAGATTAAGAACCCCGAGCCGGCCCTGCTGGCTGCGCTGAACTCTGCTCTGGCTGCTCTTGAGAAGACTGGCGGAAGAGTTTTATGCTCGTGCTCTGCTCTGCCCACCTGGGGACCTGGCCGGCTGTTCATGCGGGATGATGGTAATCACCCGGGTGGCGAGCTTGACAAGAAGCTGTATACTACGGAGCACCCTGGTTGGAGAAAAGTAGCAGAGAAGATGGCCTCCTCTGGCGTCGGTTCTGATTTCTTCTTGGCTGCACCGAACGGCGGATATCTTGATATCGCCACTATAGGTATGGTCATGTAGTAGGATATCCCAAAAATTGGAGCCAGCACTGACGGATGATAGCACACGTTTCCGCTACGACTGGCGGCGAGACATATTACTACCCTAATTTCATTGCTCCTCGCGACAGTCTCAAGCTGTCGGGAGAGATTACTCATGCAGTCACGCGAGAAGTTGGATTCCAAGCCCTGATGAAGGTCCGATGCTCCAACGGACTACAGGTTGCGGCCTACCATGGAAACTTCATCCAGCACACATTCGGAGCCGATTTGGAGATTGGTGTTTTGGATGCAGACAAGTCCCTGGGCGTGTCATTCAGCTACGACGGGAAACTTGATGCGAAACTCGATGCCCACTTCCAGTCCGCTCTGCTCTACACGACGGCTTCGGGTCAGCGCAGAGTCAGATGCACAAATGTCATTGCTAGCGTCAGTGACACCTCGAAGGATGCTGGTACCCGTGAGCAGGGAATCCGTGAGTGCATGAAGTTCGTCGACCAAGATGCAGTTATTTCTATTTTGGCAAAGGAAGCATGTACCAAATTCGGAACCACGTCGAGCAGCCTGAAAGATATCCGTAACTGGATTACCGAGCGGACTATCGATATCCTAGCTTGTTATCGAAAGCATTCTGCCGTGCAGCACCCCCCTGGCCAGCTCGTCATGCCAGAGCGCTTGAAGGAGCTGAGCATGTACTTGCTTGGTCTCATGAAATGCCGGGCATTCAAGGGTGGTATCGAGTCCTCCGATAGAAGAGTGAGCGAGATGCGCATGGTCCGAGCCATGGGCGCTCTTGAGCTGAGCCTTTATCTTTATCCCCGGATAATCCCCATCCATAATCTACAGCCAGAAGATGGATTTGCTGATTCGGAGACGGGTCACCTGAGGATGCCTCCAGCTATCCGGGCATCTTTTTCCCGTGTTGAGCCTGGTGGTGTCTACCTAGTTGAGAATGGCCAGCAATGCCTGATCTGGTTCCACGCCCAAACGTCACCCAATCTGATATCTGATCTTTTTGGTGCTGACAAGGACAATCTAAAGAGTCTTGACGCGTATACGTCGGCTCTGCCTGTGCTTGACACCCATCTCAACGCACAGGTCCGAAACATGATTGAGTTCCTGAAGACGTTGCGTGGATCCAAGGCCTTGACCATTCAGCTGGCAAGACAAGGTATCGACGGCGCTGAATTTGAGTTTGCCAGAATGCTGGTTGAGGATCGAAACAACGAAGCGCAGAGCTACGTGGATTGGCTTGTGCATGTGCATAAGGCCGTCCAGCTTGAGGTGAGCCCAACCCTGAATACACGTATCTGATTGTCTACCAGGCTCGACTAACAGTTCAATCAGCTGAGTGGCCAACGCAAAAAGGAGGCGGAAGGCGACTCCGCTAGCTCTTCGGGTGCGCTCACCAATTTTAGTGGCCTACGACCGGCCTATTGGTAATGAGTCGCGAGTTATCAATAATTACCAGTGATGGCCTGCAAAGAGTCTCAGAGGAGGGATGACGACAATGATGATGATGATGGGCGGCGACCCGAGGCCGGAGAGTCAGATTATTATACACGGAGTAGTTCATCTGCAGGCAATACCTTCCCTCTCCTCCCAACACCCCCTTTTTATGATGCATACATAGGCAAGCCGCGTTTAGCGGAGGAAAAATGAAGAAGCAGAAGGAAGCAATGACAATCTCCTTTTCATTGGGTGAAGCGCTCGCCCTCATCTTGAAGATAAATTCAACCTTGTACATTCCACAGCCAGTTTCTGGTTGAACCGCCTTGCATATTTTGAAGTCAGTTTCCGGTCTCTTCACCTGCTCACCTTCCAACGTTCAATATTTGCCCGAGATTTTTCAACCCATCAATGGCTTGTTGGCCTCATGTACCGACCATCCCGGGTTCCACTATAGAATGAGGTCAGGCAACAGACGAAATAGGCTTCGTTAGAGTGAGCTGCAGCCTGCACATAGCCACAGGTGCACCTTCGAAAACGGCCGGTTTAGCAGGTTTTCCGCTCAGATAAGTGGCGGTGCAAGCACTCGGATTGGTTAGGTGCATGTAAGTGTATGTACGGCATGTTGCACAGCTTGAATCGAATCACAGGATCGAGTAACCGAGATGATGCACAACGCCATTCGCAAACCAGGCAATAACACACAGGCTTTAAAAAAAAGTACCAGCCCAAGATGATGCCAGTGGCTGAAAAGAAGTTACTACCGGCAAGGCCAATTTGGGTTTCAATAATCTGTGATGAAGCCCCATGTGCATTTATGTTCAATTATACATGTTCTCTGACTGAATGCTGCTCAATGCCCTCTTTGGGACGCCAGTCGAAACAAAACAACGAGACCAAAGTACTTTTTTTTCGTTGGGTTTCCTCTTTCTGGACCCTCCTTCTCCGTTTGCCTCACATCTGCGGGTGCATGTTGGGCTGGGCCTCAGATGGAAGCTTAGCTGCATATGTACGTGGGAGCGTTGCTGCATATGCACGACACACTGCGCATGCTTGCTTGACTGCCACAACTGGCCTACCAGATCACGGATGGGGAGGGGGGCCCTTGGCTGCATGCTTTGAGTTCATGGGGGCATTCTGACAGGAGGATGCCTTGGGACCCCGCAGAGTTTTGGTGTACGTGATGGCATGCACTTTGGACATCGGGGGCTTTGAGGTGAAACAGGGTCAACGCACTATGATGACCCCAAGGTAGATAATATTGCTTGAGGCTAGGATGGGCCAAGTTGCCCGAGTAAGCCTACAAATGTAAATTGTACCGATATCGGTGACGTGTTAAAAAAATTCAAAGAGATTCCATGGTACCTCCTCCCTCCCCCTTTTTTTCGATTCCCCCTTCTCTCTTTGGTTTCAACATCCGCCATATGTCTAATAAAATAACCCCACACTTTTATTCCGTTCGCTTCATAATTCCTTCGTCACAGTGACTGCCGGCGTCACATATAGAAAGAAAGTCTAAAAACTAAGAAGATGCACGCCACCCCTTAACCGAAGGCACCAGGCGTTCTGTAAGAGACCAAAAAAGGAAAAAGAAAAAGGCGCGTTACATGAATGTTCGATACTGAGTCAGCCTCCCCTCCACCCTCCCCTTCCGTGATGTAGCGACAGGTCCCAGCGTCAGGATCCGCCAAATGGCACTGGATCACTCATCCCCCATGCGTGATGGTCTCCAACGAGTACCGCGGGTCCGGCCGGCTCAGGACACGCTCAATCTCCGTCTGGTCGAAAACTTGCTCGAAGATGCGTTTGTCGGTGATCGAAGAGCTAGAGCTCCGCGACGACGACGAGCTAGAGCTTCCCGAGGTCCGCGATGATGAGGTAGAGCCGCCAGAGGTCCGGTGACGACCTTTGCCGCTGCTACTCTTCGAGGCCTTCTTGGTCAGCTCATCGAGGATCAGACGCGCGGTGCTCTGGTTGGGGTCGTCGAAGATGAAGCTGACGTAGGCGAACTGGCCGCGCAGATCAGGGTCGAAGAGAAAGAGGTCGCGCCAGATCTCGGCCACCTCCTGCGGCGGGTTGCGGTGGCCGTTACCGAGGCCAAAGTCGCCGATGACGACGCGAGTGTAGCCGTTGAAAAGGCAGATCCGGAGGGCGCCACCCATCTTCTCCCGCATCATCTCGCGCTCCTCAGAGAAGGAGTACTTGGTGCCGTTGTCCTTAAGCTTAGGCCAGCGGGTCGGGGGAATTGATATGACGGGCATGTCGAACCATTTGTTGTACTTGTCGTAGCGCTCCGCCTCACCGCGGTAGACGACAACCGAGCTGGAGAAGATGCCGCCGCCCGAGGGGATGGGGTAGTGGGAGGACACGTTGTTTTGGCCTGGCCAGGGCGACTTGAGGGTTGCAGAGAGGTTGCTCCGTCGGCACAGCTTCTCCTCATAGCCCGCGCAGCTGGTTTCCCAGTCTCCTCCAGCCCGGCGCTCGTTGGCGGCGCAAATGAAAGGGATATTGATTCTGTTTCTTCCGCTAACCTTATCGCTCTGTTCGTCCATCATGCCCCATTCGATAGCCCTGGACACGGGGTCGCCAGTCTCCACGACAAAGATAGGGGGTCGCGTGCTGTAGGTCCAGCGTTGGAGCTCTAGGGATTTGGGGTGGGGGTATAGAACGGAGTATGGCGGGAACAACTTGGAGTAATCACGGTTGATTAAGTTGATGAAGTTTTTCTTCGTATCAGCCGCCACATCTGACGGCCTCACCTTGCCATGGCGGGAACCGGGAGCCATATTGAAACGAATCAACGATGTAGTGTTGAAGAATATGAGAGGTCTGATAATGAAGCAAGAACAAAACTCTTGTAATAAAGTGCTACCAAGTTATAATCTTGCCAGCCCATTCCACAATAGGGAGAGAGGGGGGAATATATACAGAAGTGAAAAAAAAAAAAGAAACAAGGTCGTAGAGAGAATATAACGCCAGGAAGATGGATATTTGCTTTTCCTCGATTCAGATACAGACTTGATGCCGCACAAACGGAATTCACGAACGAGTACTTACAGCTCGTGTAACTCCATACTGGCGATCTTGAGCCGAATGTTTAGAACAGATTCATCCACAACCGAGAAGAGGTGGGGGGATAATAAGTCGACCTGGATGAGTCGGAAGCTAGGCGAATACCCATCGCTTGATTTCCCTTGATAACCAACTCGCCGTCTTCTTGTCTCGGGCAAAGACAAAAAGCAACGGGACCCAAGGGCCCTGGCATCCAGATTGACAGGATAGCGGCAGGGGATAGCGGCAACCTACACCGAGGCCTGTACGCACCCGCATAAATCGATCTTACAGGAAACCCTTGATCCTGCATTCGATCTCCGACAAAGGCCAATTTGCACTTCAGGCGGCAGGTGTGGAGAGTCTTGTGGCCACTTGGCAATCACAGAGACGACGATGAGAACGTATCTGCCCAGCGTGTGTCAGGCTCGGGCCTCATGTTGGGAGGTGGATTACTCTGCAGAACCCGGCACGCACAAGCTTGTCGGGACATTGGAGTGGCTGGTTGCGATTTAGATCTGTGACACTTCATCTTGCTGGTCAGACCGAGCACAGTGATAAGAATAATTAACGAGGATGGCGGCGCCTGTGGCGAGACAGGCACGGATAGAGAAGTGGGCTGGTCCCCGGAAGAGGCCTTTGAGACGAGCGAGGTTTGGTTTGAGTGATGATGGGAGCAAGCAGCAGCCCGAAGCTTCGGCAGGCGAATGAGGCTGGCCTTGTCACATTTCTGATGCACAATAATAGCCAACGGGTGATGATCTTGCAGCTGCCTTAGTTCTCACGGAGAAATTAAAAAAATGCTAGGAGGCGGGTCAGGGGCATGTTGTCTAACTGATGTGCAGCAAGCTGCGACCTGCGCCTCACCGGTTGTTACTGGCAATTAAAAGCGGCTCATAGGTCATCGTCCAGGTCTGGGGATTCCAACCGCCCTTGGCGGCTTGATATATATCGGTATAGCGTTATGCAGCTAGCAATGGTGAGAAAAGGGCTGCCACTGAACCATGTGGCCAGGAAATGAGCGTGGAGGGAGGGCGATGGGCATAAGTGCGTGGGCCATAGAGGCTTATTTTGGCCATTGCTGCAGGAGGAAGCCTAACCTAGGTAGGCTTCAGTGGGCGAGGAGCGCAGAATCCATGTTTCGGAATTTGCATATCCAACCAACTATTCGTCGAGGGTTGGCGAGAGGTGGCACAGTATTGAACTTACTCGTTGTGCTCTCCCCATCTGCCGTGCTTGGTCTGGGATGTTGCTTGCCGATATGCTGATCACGGCACTCGCTCATTACCAGAGAGGCATTCTTTTGCGATTGGCCATAGGATAGGATCTGACTCGGGCAGATGGAAATACCTTTTTTTCTCGACTAGAATAAACGAAAGTTGAAGTTGAGAGATACAAGGAAGGCATCATTGTGCCTGAGGCCAGGAAGGAAGCGCTTCCTCACCCAGCGCCGCTTATCGATAAGCTTGTCGAGGAACGGCACAACGGTTTTTCCCTACCAGAGGAGGACACCTGAAGAACCCACGATAGTACTATCAAGCCTTCCAGAGGACGAAACAGTCCGTTATCTCTAGGACCTCCCTGAGCTGGTCGAATTTTCACTGTGCCCACAAATTGTATGCCGAAGCAGCCTCATCTGTGACGTGACAGCGGTCGCGTCTCAGTCTCAGATCCTCAGACATGCTGGGCACCTCTCTCTCAACCATGCGCTCGACTCATGTCTCGCTGCCACTGCGGCTTCCGCGGATGGGATACGCATCAAGACGCTACTCCGTGCGCGTCCTCGGAGACTCAGCTGCCAAAACTGTAGTGCAGAATGTTGCTGATCTCAAAGCATGGCCCTTGGAATCTGGCCAGGATTGCCCGGTGGAGATCAATGGATGGGTGCGAAACATCCGGAAGGCTTCCGCCGTCCGTTTCGTCGAGGTTTCCGATGGCTCGAGCTATTCCACCGTGCAGGCTGTCGTGAGTAAGGAGATGGCTGAAGAGTACGCCATCATCACTCAGCCCGTATCCTTGTCCCTGTGCCAGCTCTACTAACCATTTCCCTCTCAGAATCCGACTTGGAGCTGCGGTCCGCCTAAAGGGGTTATGGAAGCTTCAGAGCCCGCCTCAAGTCTTCTCCCCTCCTCCTGAGGAGCCTGCTTCTACTCCAGATGAGAAGCCGTCCAGGCTCCCACAGATCAAGTTCATTGATCCATCCCCGGATGCTCGTGAAGAGCGGCCCAAAATCACCGTCCCCGTTGGGGAGCTTCAAGTCGATGAGGTCCAGATTCTAGGGGCGTCGGACCCCGATGTAAGCTCTTTTCTCTCTTTGGTGTGACCCGAGATAGATTTCGTTTCTGAACCGTGCATAGACATATCCCATCCAGAGAAAGTACACATCGCCAGAGACGCTACGCAACTGGCCGCATTTGCGGATGCGTACAAACCTCAATTCAACTCTGCTTCGGCTACGATCAGATACCATTGGGTCTTTGAGTAAGATTTTCAACCGAGAAAACTTTATACAAACACACCCTCCTATCATCACCTCAGCCGACTGTGAAGGGGCAGGGGAAGCCTTCATGGTTATCGGGGGCACTCGCGAGAGCCCCTTTTTCGACAGCCCCAAGTTCTTGACTGTATCGTCCCAGCTCCATCTGGAAGCGATGGCACAGGCTGCTGGCAATGTGTGGACCTTGTCCCCTTCCTTCCGAGCTGAAAGGAGTGACACAAACAGGCATCTGAGTGAATTCTACATGCTCGAAGCCGAGATGAGCTTTGTCGATGACATGGGTGAAGTTATGGATCTGGTGCAGAGGATGACAAGATCTCTCGTCCAGGACCTGGCCCAGCAGAGCTCGTGGAAGGAGCTTGAGCACGCCAGGAGGCATCCTCGAGGACCCGCCGAGACTCGCACCTTGGAAGACCTAGATGATATCACAATACTAGAACGTCGATGGAATGGCATGCTCGTCCCTGAAAAATGGCCACGAATTACATACTCTGAGGCGATAAACATCCTCGAGGAGCATATTGACAAGTTTGAGCGGCCACCTATATGGGGACAAGGCCTAGGGTCGGAGCATGAGAAGTTCCTGGCTGAACTGATCGGCTACGACAAAGAACGAAACGCATACGTCCCTGTGTTTGTCACTCATTATCCACGGGACATCAAGGCTTTCTACATGCGGGAGTCGGCAGCCGAGCACCGTCACAAGGGCCAGGTTGTCGTCGACTGCTTCGACCTGATCGCTCCGGATATTGGAGAGCTTGCCGGCGGCTCGATGCGTGAACATCTTCTTCACAAAATCATCACCAACCTCAGGCACTTCTCGCTCGAGGCGTCTGCGAACGATCCGCGGCTCAAGTGGTACGTGGATTTACGAAGATGGGGATGTCCTCCGCACGGCGGTTTTGGCATTGGGTTCGACCGGCTGCTGAGCTACCTGACTGGAGTTCGCAGCATCCGTGACCTGGTGGCATTCCCTCGCCTTTACGGGCGGACTGATTGTTGATTTTGGGCCTCGCCCGGGTTCACAACATGGCCGATTGCCCACTCTGGGAGTTCGATTCGGTCCGGTCTCGTTTCCCAAGGTGAGAGTTTGTCTCTCGTTTAAACCTTCCCCCCTCGGCCCGTGGCTGTTCGATGCGAATTGAGTTCGCGAATGAACTTTGGCCGGGACGATGGGCCTACGGGTCAGACTGTAATGCAACGATAGTGTCACAACTTCAGAGTGCAACACTGACTCTGGTTTCACTCAAACAGGCAGGGCTCGGAGAGATGCATATGCCAAATCTAACACACGAGGTTGTGCAACTACAATAGCCGCTGTGTCCTTCGGCCAAGGACCAACAAAGTGTGCCCTTGGAAGCTTTGGATAGGGGAGGGTAAAATGAATGGAGTTTTGGAAGCTCCAGCTGTCGTTGCCGGGTTTACACTCGCCTTCCGCCACAATATTGTATCACAATCATGCAGTCTTGGGCTGCCCATGTATCACCACAATCTCGCATAACATACATTTGTACCATCAGAACTCTCAACAATAGATACTACTAGGGGCTGGTCTCGGGTTTAGCTAGGCGCTTTGGAAACGATAATAATTTATCCTCACATATTCAGCTGTACTCAAGTCCCCTTTGTCTCCCCACGGATAGCACAAGCAGTCACAACTCTATTTCCGGTGGTCATCTTGTCTCCATAGACGAGAGGCTCTTTACTCACCGCCGTTCAGACGAATTACACAGTGGAAGCACAACAGCGCGGCACGACTCACCCGCCGTCAGAGAACACGGGCAGAGAGAGACCTGCTTCACAAAACTGCGTAACCGTACGGAGCGCGCACACAGAGTCGGTTTCATCACCAAACACAACACGTGGCCCCAGGACGGACCCCGACGATGGGCGATTGCGCCGGATAGCCGGTAGGGGGAGATGAGGCTGGATGTATCGGCAGCTCCTGGACCCGGACTATGAGCTGACGACCACAAGGCGCAGTTGTATATACATGGAAAACGTCAGACTGTGCGCGGGAGGGAGGCAGCCCGCGCTCCCCACCATCTCCGTGCTTCCATCTCATGGGCTAATCGTCATGCCCCCCAAAGCCACTTGTTCGGCGAGAAATAGAAAGACCCTCTGCACTGGTCCATATCTCGGCCCGGGAGGCCTGACGACGCGTAACCTGGGCGCCCCGAGCTCGATTTCAGAGTTCGGTGAGAGGAGCGAGAGGAAGGGGGGGGACGCCACTGTCTC